TTATTATTAATAAATAATGATTGTGGGAAAATAAGTAATAAGTATGGAATAAGAAAGAATAAGATTCAGTTGCTTTGGAAACAGTTTGGCAGTTCCTCAAAAAGTGAAAAATGGAATTGCTACATGATCCAGCAAGTCCACTCTTAGGTATAAACTCCCAAAGAATGGAAAATAGACATTCGAACAAATATTTGTGCACGAATATTCATAGCAGCACAATTTCCAATAGTTAAAAGGTAGAAATAACCTAAATGTCCATCAGTGGATGAATGGATAAATAAGTTGTGATATATAAATACAGTGGACTATTATTATTAAAAGAAATGAAGTGCTGATACATGTTACAACGTGGATGAATCTGGAAAATATTATGTTAAGTAAAAGCAGCCAGACACAAAAGGTAACATATTATATGATTCCATCTATATGAAATACCCAGATTAGGTAAATCTATGGATACAGAAAGCAGATTGGTGGCTGCCAAAAGCAGGGAGAGGAGCAAATGGAATAATTATTTAAGAGATATTGGGTTTTATTTTGGGAGTATGAAAATTTTTGGCAACTAGATAAGAGGGTGGTTGCAAAACATTGCGAATGTACTAAATGCCACCAAATTGTTCATTTCAACATGGTTAGTTTTATGTGGCATGAATTTCACCCAAGTGAAAAAAAAAAGGGAAACAAAAAAACCCACAGTAAGCTAAAAGTTTGGTCTTTGTTAGAGATTATAAACCATTATCTAGAAGTGAAACTGCCCTGCAGATGTTATTTTTTGCCTACATGGTGTGTTTAAACAGTTATCAGTATTTTTAAAACTAGGTGATTTCTGAAAATATCTGGGCTTCTGGCCTTTATCTTAAAGGAAAAGTTTCCATATGATAAAAAAATTGGCTATTGTCAAGAAGTAGTTGCTTCCTTGAGATGGCATATTTACTTTCTGGCTTATCATGGTCTCTTCTACCTTCTATGTTCTTCTTTTTTTTAAAAAGATTTTATGTATTTAATCATGAGAGACACAGAGAGAAAGAGGCAGAGGCAGAGGGAGAAGCAGGCTCCACGCAGGGAACCTGACGTGGGACTCGATCCTGGGTCCACAGGATCACGCCCTGGGCTGAAGGTGGCGCTAAACAGCTGAGTCACCCGGGCTGCCCCTTCTATGTTCTTCTTGACACCAAAACCAAATTGTCAATTTTATGCTTGTCTATTTCAGACAGAGATTAAGAATAAAAGTGGGATAGCTCTTGTACTCAAGCTTCCATTGAAAATTGAAAAATAAAAAGTGTTTACTTCCAGCCTGCTTTACTTATTTATATTTACTGCTTTGCACCCATGATTATTTGAATTTAGAAATCCTGTTCTTCTTGGTAGGATAAAGATAGAAATCAAACACTCTGAACAAGATTAGAAAAACTAAGTTAACCACGTATACCTTGAATTCCAAATTCACCTTCTGAAACTTGGCTGCATGAATAATCAAAGTTAGTCACCTGCAAATAGATACATGCCCAAATAGTTTCATCAATCAAGGTTAAATGAATTTGGATTGAAGGTAAAGCAAATCTATCTCTGGTCACTTAGATCTATTTTCCCTGCTAGTGCACCAGTACTAAAATGAAAGGTGAAGAGTCACCAGCTCATGTTTACTAAGAGAGAAGACTGGGATTTGAAGATAATACTCTTATCTTGGAAGCACTCCTTTTTCAGGAGATGTAGTTTAAGTGCCTATGCAAGATACATATATATATATAGAAGTAGGGGAATGGGTAGCAGTCTGGCAGTTTTTCCCAAAGAACCCAGTATTTTTTTTTCAGTAGCTTACCTTGGAGACATACATATAAGTCTTTGTTGCCGAGGAAGGTGGGGTGGGTAAGATATAAACATTAATTCCTGAGAACTAACTTCATCAGTCTAATAGACTTTAAATTTAAATACCTTAGCTCAGTGCATCATTAACAGGTGTCTGGCCCCATTTCATAGAGGTCTGGAAAGACAGGGGCATAAAAGGCAATGGTATGGAGAATATAAGTTTGTCTGGTTCTATTTTTTTGCCCAAAACATGTTTCCAACCTCAAAGCTCTTTAAACTCTAGCACTCACTTTCTCAGAGCCACAAGGGAATGTGGCTTCTTATTAGGGTAAGAGAGGGGAGCTCTTATCTGGGATGGATAAGGAAGTTGGTAATGTCTGACAGGGGAAGAAGTGAGACACCGTTGTTAGAACTGACACTGCCTTCCTCCTTTTCTATGCCAAAGTGGGAGGCCTTTGAAAGCACACAACTTGTCATGCTTCCTCTTCTGGAGGCACAGCCTCCACACCTATTCTATACATTGAAGTCTGTGAGGGTTTAGGCTTTATCTACCCTTGTATTCAGGGATCACATTCAGCATAGCAGCTGGCACATAATCAACATATTTTTATTAAATAAATGTAATCACCCTAAAGGAAACAGAAGAACAGAAACTATGAGCAGTCTGTAAGTAGTACTTCTATGGCCACAATATTTATATTGCTTCACTCTTAGCCCAACTATGAGATCTCCTAACTGCTATTGGAAATAAAATACAGAAAAGATGGATAGCAGAAAGATCTGAAGTCAGAGTATTCTGAGAATGGGGTCTGGTCTAAAGAGCACCCCTGCTGACTCAGCTTAGGAACCTGCAAAGCTGTTATGCCAGGTGGTCTGCTAAACTAAAATAGCAACAACTGGATTCCTCCATTAGATCAACAACAAGAAGCTTTGCGCAGTGGCCGTATCGTAGCCAATGAGGTTTATCTGAGGCATGATTATTGCTAATTGATCAACGACAAGAGAGATTGTGGAGTTTACTGCCAGAAAAGAATTTTTTTTTTAAATTAAGAATTCCTGGGTACCTTTTTATGGTATTATAATTAAAATCAAAAGCTCCATGAAGATGTAAGGCCAGAACATGAAAAGATATTCAAGATCTAATATGAAAAAAAGCAAGTTACAAAATATATATTATTTGATTTTGGTTTTGGCTTAAAAATGTTAGTATGTGCATAGAAAGATACATGGAGGAATATAATCTAAACTGTTTATACTGTTTAAGAGTCAGGGGTTTGAATAACAGAGGAAGTTTATTCTTCCCATAGACTATGGGGTAGATGTACTTTTTACATTATAGATTTCTGTAATGTTTGAGTTTTCTTGCATAAGGAATATGTATTATCTTAGATGTAATCAGACAAAATAAGGAATGTAAAAATAAAATGAAACTGAAAAAACTATATCTCTTTATCCAAAAAGAAGTCAGGGAAAAAAATATTTAGCAATCTAAGAGTGTTTTGAAATCACATTCTTTGGAACTCTTCACCAGTTCTCTGAGAGCCAGCACAGGGCATGAGGGCACCTGATCTCTAAACATGCCCCTAGGGATCCCTGGGTGGCGCAGCGGTTTGGCGCCTGCCTTTGGCCCAGGGTGCGATCCTGGAGACCCGGGATCGAATCCCATGTAGGGCTCCCGGTGCATGGAGCCTGCTTCTCCCTCTGCCTATGTCTCTGCCCCTCTCTCTCTCTGTGACTATCATAAATAAACAAAAATTTAAAAAAAAATAAAAAAAATAAACATGCCCCTACCCAAACTTCTCACTCAGCTTGATTATTTTACTTGAATATTTTAATAATGAAGTTCTGCTAATACTAAGTTTGAAAACTTAGGACATAAAACATATGTAACTAATTTATTTCAGAATGTTCCTCAAAGCACTTTCTGGGGTTTGAGTGGGCTCCCCAGGAAAAAAGATCTGTTTTCTCTTGTGTTTTCTGAGCATGAGATTTTAGTACTGAGCTTTTTAGTGCAAGGTCTGATGCATTTATGAGCTGTCTGGGTAGAAAGCCGGGTGCTCTATGCATAAGGATCCTCTGTTCAAGAAGGCCAAGGCAGCAGGAAGCCTCTCATTCCCTACCATCTGGCCAGCCTCTCTGAATCATGGTCAGCCATCCAGAAGCAGAAGATTCAGGATCACCAGAGAGAGACTATTTTCAGATGAATGAGAACTCAAGCCTGAGCAATTAGAAATAGGTCAATGACTTTTTAAAGCAACTTTCTTGAAAGAGGATGCTTTTCTTTGCAAAATTCTTTCTCATCACTGGTCTTTCTTTAAATAGAATATGGTGACTGCCTATAAATCCTTTTTCTTGTTTTTAAGTCTTCTGTCACAGAACCCTGAAGTATTTTTTTTCCTTTAAGTATTTTTGGAGGTACTTGTATTTCTCTTTTTTTTTTTTAATTTTTATTTATTTATGATAGGCACAGAGAGAGAGAGAGAGAGAGAGGCAGAGACACAGGCAGAGGGAGAAGCAGGCTCCATGCACCGGGAGCCCGACGTGGGATTCGATCCCGGGTCTCCAGGATCGCGCCCTGGGCCAAAGGCAGGCGCCAAACCGCTGCGCCACCCAGGGATCCCCTAGCCTTGTATTTCTAAGAGAAAACCGGACTTTAGAAATATAAACGAGAGACTTCAGTATTTGAGCTAAAACTGCTCTATTCCCTAGAGTTAAAAAAAAAAAATGCTTTTTAGAAATTTTAATGTTTTAATTTGGTTCTTCATTATCTGTAATAACCAGCGGAAATCCTTCAAATGAAATCCCTTTCTCTGTTTTGTTTACTCTTCCTGACTTTCACAGCTATATCCTCATCTGGATTCTTATTGAGCCAAAACTAATATGCCATTTTCTGTGTATTGTATCTCCCTGCCTCCTGAGAGCAGCAGAACCCATCTGTGAATTTCTGCTCAGAACCAGCAGGGGGAGCTCACTTCCACAGTAATCTGAATCCATCCATAAGGGGATGGGAAAAGCAACCCAACTTTTTTCAGTAGGAATTGCCCTTTTGCACTATCGATGAATGATCACATGATAAGCCACAGGTTACTGACAATGGTGCTGAGATAAAACATTCCTGCGAGAATGTGGTTAGAGACAGCCAGCCTCAATGGCAAGGCTCCTACCCGAAGCAGATGCATACTCTCTGCCTGTACCTGTTTTTCAAGGCTTGGCTTGCTAAGCTGTACAGTCTGAGGTCCAGCGAGTCTGGTCCCTGGAGTAGCTATCACAATGCTGGTGAGCTGGGCCATGGGGAACGTTTTGGCTATGGTTGCGGTCTGTCCATTGACGACACGGACGGGGTGGATGGAATTCTGGGATGTAGGGAGAGTTGTGGGGGTGAACTTGGTCAGCATGACAGGCCTCTGGATAAGTTGAGGAGCTGCAAGCATTGGAGGAGGTGCTGGGGCAATAGGAATGTTATTCTGGGCCACAGGCTTGGGTCGAACCTATGGGGAAAGAAAGGATAATTATCATATTACTTAAATGTCTCAAGTCTTATAAGTCTAAGACATTGCCAAATCTTTCATACTTTAGATGTGAAATGGTATTTAGTACCAATACTTATTAATACTCATTTTGGAATCATTAACTCTACAGCTATGAGGATATATAAGCTTATAAAAGATGCATCAGCTCTTAAGAGGGCCCAAATGTCACCTTACAATGTGGTTCTTCTGAATCCAAACCTTAGTTCCCTCTTCCATACCAAGCGGCCTCTTCAGGGCTGAGGTTAAATGCCTAATCCAGAGACTGGTCCCACTCAGAATTTGTGCCCAGTATGGTAATAATGCTTCTGCTGGTCTTAATTCACATTCTAAATTTCTTGATGTCCAAGGCTTCAAGTCAGCCCTGTTCCTTGTTCTCTAATTTCCCGTTCTTGGCCACCCCTTCTTTAAGTCACCTTTGTGGGCTTTCTTTTCCTCTGCTCAGTCCTAAACATAACTATTTCTTAGAGTTTTGTCCTGGAACCTCTTTTCTTCCCAACCTCCTCAATCTTCCTGGGAGTTTTCAGCCATCCCACGGCTTCAAATACCTGTGTATTAAAGATGTCCATACTTGTATCTCAGAACCACACATTTCCTGAACTTCAGAAGCATACACTCAACTGCCTGTCATGTATCTCTACTTGGATGGCTCACAAGAAATTAAAAATCAACATGTCTAGGAGCTCCTGGCTTAGTCAGTGAAGAGCGCGACTTCTGATCTCAGGGTTGTTAAGTTTGAGCCCCATGTTGGGTGTAAAGATTACTTAAAAATAAAATCTTAAAATAAATAAATAAATAAAATCTTTAAGAACAACAATAAAAAAATCAACATGTCTAAAATTCTTCTATTTCTTCCTCCAACCCTCCCCTTCTTCCTATTATCATCACCTCAGTAAATGGTCTTTCCTTACTACATAAACTTCAGAACCATTCTTGATGCTTCCTACTCCACCTCTGCTTCCTAAATCCTTCTCAAATATGGCTACTTTCTATCAGTGCCATCGTTCTACCTTACGTTTGGCTTACTGGAACAGCGACAAAAAATTATGATTAAAAACATGGGGTCAGCCCTGCCCGGGTTCAAATCCTGGTTCCTACCCCTTACTAGCCAGGTAACCTCAAGTAACATACCTGATTTAAGCCAGCATTTTTTGAACTTTCTGTACAGTGACCCTGTGGGCAAAATCTTTTCCCCTTATGCATGAAAGTTTGACCTGCAGGTAACTCCCCAGCTCTGTTCCCCTGGAAACCTGATTAAGGGTAAGAATGTCAACTATGTTACCAGGCAACATTGTTTATGGTAAAAAATGATCCCTTACTGCTAAACTGAATCTGAATGGGGAGAATTATAAATACCTGATGGGACACCATGCTGTGGGCTTCATGAAGTAAGGTGACTCTTTTAACTGAGCATGTCCACCGGGGGGACCTTGAAAGCCACAGCTATGGAATTGGTACAAGATACACTGGTTCCTGTGAGGCATAAGACTCTGCCAGGATGGCTCTCCCATCGTCCTGATCAAGATCTCATTTCCCTACACCTAAGCTATCACTAGACAGTTGTAGAGACTGCTATACAGGCTGGCGAAAAATGTCTGATGCTATCTTGCTGGTAAGCTCTGGTTTCTGTCTTGTGTTGTTCCAAGCAGACTGGTACCAAGTGTGGGCCCTGAGAGTCTTCCAAGTCTGAATATTGAACTGAATTTAGGATGACCCTGTGGTGGCTGCTACAGACACACAGTAGGGAATACATTTCTTACTGTAACCAGTACATGCATATAAACATAGATCTGTATCTCTATAAAACAAAAATTTCACAAAACATTACACATATGCTATGTACTCTAATGTTTCATATTCTGTTTTGTTCCTTTTGTTTAAAAATTCTGGTTATCATCCATTAAATTGATTTCATACAGAGCACTGATATGTCATGACCCATTGTTTGGAAAACATGGACTAAGCCTTAGGTTCCCTATCTAAAAAAAAGTAATACCTACTTTCACAGGGCTGTTTTGAGGATTAAAATAGATACCCACAGAAAGTGCCTAGCTCTGTAAGTGGCACCTTGCAGGAGTCTTTAAACATTAGCTGCTATTGTTGATAATGTCCTAACTATTCTTCTTGCCCACAGTCTTGATCATATCCAATCTATTCTCTTTCTCTACACAATGACAAGAGGGAATGTTCTAAACAAAAACCTCATCATTTCAAGTATTTGTTTAGAAATGTTTTCATGGATCCCTGTCGTTCCTGGGATAAGGGCTGAATTCCTACATAGTCTAGAAGGCTCCACAGGCTCTGGCACAATGGGCTTCTCCAGCCTCACCTCATTCCCTAGCTTGAGTCAGCCATATGTCTTCTAAGGTCAGCTACACCAAATCGCCTTTGGTTCTTTAGGCTTACATGCATCTCTCCATACTGGATTGGCATATATGCTCTACCCTCTGCCTGGGACGTTTTTCTTCTTCCCCGTAAACTACCTAACTTTACTAGGATTTTAGGTCTCAGATAGAATGTCAACAATTCCAGGGAACTTTCCAGAATACTATTAATAATGAGTGTCCCTATGTGTGATCAGACTACCCTGTACTTCCCATAATGGACACTGTAATTGCCTGTACAAAGATCTGAAGCTCTCTGAGGGGAGAGAACTGTCCATCTTGAAAACTGGTCAATATACAATGCCTTTATTGATACCCAAGGTATTTATTAAGGATCTACTAGACAAATGATTGAAATCACCTTATCTCATGTTATCAATGCCCAATCCTACTGCATAGGCAATTTGGAAATCACCTATGGCCAATGACCACAAAATTCCTTTCTCTTTTAACATAGGGCCTCAGATGCCTTTCTACTAGGCAAGTCAAGTCTCCTCTAAAGCCAGACTGAGGCAATCCTGACATCTTGCAGTAAGAATGGTGAGTTCACTGCAATTGCTAGAAGAATACTGCCAGGACAATACAGGCAAGCAGAGCTGCTTGGGCCTAGGTAGAAAGTTCTATGTATAGACTGCTAGTCTAAGCTTTTACAGGCAAGGCTTTGCATTTAAGTATGATGCTTAATGCCATTACTTTCCAGAATAAAACTAAACTTCTCGGTTTCAACTGGTTAGTTTGGCTATTGTTTCCTTCTCTACTCTCTGGCACATAGAAAAAAGTAGTAATTGCATGCCTTCCCCACTGGAAAGCAGGTTTGGCTAAACTTCGAGTAAGTTAACATCCTAAGGTTTAAAATGGTGCTATCTTAAAATTTTTTTTTTTTTTTTTGTCACATCCCCTTGCTACTGCCTTTGGTCATTGCTAAGAAACCCTGGTGTTCAAATAAGCTTCTTCATGGTATAAGAATCAGCAACTACAACCTTTAGCTAACTAATAAGATCTGTAGAGAGCTGAGCTGATAAGCATACTTCAGGCTACTTAGAAAGGGCCCCTGAGCACTTCTGTCTCATCTGACCCATTATTGGGCTTGTCACTGGTTTACTCACCTGTGGAAGAAAGTTTGGACGTGGAGTGAGTCGAGGAGGGGGGATAAATTGTGGTACTTTGATGGGCTGAGGAGGTGTTGCTTGAACCTGCTAAAAAATGGGAAAAATAAATAAACCACAGAGGACAGTAACTGTTCGATACCAAACCTAGGCATTCTTAAAGTATTTTTAGCATCACTATTCTCTGGGTCAGACAATATTTTCTAAAATTAGTTTTCATGGTAGAATTAACCATCTGAATTAACACTTCCTGAAGAAAACTTTTTTACTCTCCCACCTGCATGTTTTGCCCTACAAAAGTGAACCAACTGCATTTCTGTGTCCTTACATGCCTAATGTAAAACACAGCAGGCTTGGCAATCTTAGACAATTTCCTTAGACATTCAAGAACTCTTGCATGTAGATATTTTAAAAGTCAAGACTGGACCCAAAGTCAAATCAAACTTGCTGCCTGGCCAAATGGGCTTTTTCCTAATATAAGGGCTTTATCTAGCAGTGAATGGCTTTATTCTTGTAGAGAATTTTCTAACTCTCAGCATTTGGCTGAGATAGCTGGTTGCTTCTCTCAAGATTTCTAGTAAGTGCTGAAGCTTCACTTTACTGTTATCTAGTTTTATTTGTCACTGGTTGTCAATCAAAAGCCACCAAGAGCTCTTAGCTTAAATTTTAAGAACCAACTTTAAAACCACAATTTGGCTATATTTCCCCCAAGCTTCAGAGAGCATTAACGTCTAACTGGTTTTGCCCTAGAATCTCACTAACAGTTTTTGTTCAAGTAATTCTTCAAGGGATCTGTTTTTTTCTGATAGACCTTGGACACAGACACTGCTAATTTGTGAGTTTCTTAAATATTTTTTAAGTGCCTCAGCTTGTCCTAGTACTTTCTGGGTGCAGCCAATTTCAAGGGATAGTGAACTACAGGAGTTCAGTGGGAAGTTTTCCCTAAATAGGTAATACAGAACCAGAGAGTGTAAGCATTCAAGCTTCACAGGAAGGTCTGCAAATAGGATGGAGAGAGCTACATGAAACAGTGTGCATGCCACTATGAAGGACATTCCTCTCCAAGTCATACTTTGATTGCAGATAATGCACTGAATGGGTTTTGGTCCTTGGTGTCAAGGGACACCTCTATAATTATTTGAACAGATAGCAGGGATGCCATATTCCCTTGTCAGCCCCGAAGGAAAACTTGGTACAGCTGAATGATGGAGACTAAAAAATCCAGCAGGAGCATAAAATGGATATATTCTACAAATGCATATCCTGAACCCTCTCATGTGGGCACACATGAGTAGCAGCTGCTGGCTTACCAGAGTGACTGTGTTTTTTGCCACAATTTGGACAGCCTCTGCCCCAGGCCCAGTGACCTTACTAGACGTCTGCAGGTTGACTGGTGTGTTCTGCACATCAGTGCTGAGCACAGCCTTCTGACTGTTGATGGCGGTCACCATAGCAATGGTAGGTCTCTGGCCCACAACAGAGGCAGGCATGGTCGCAGTTGCTGCTTTCAAGACGAGAGGTAGTGTCTTTGTGGTAATCATAGAAGCTGTAGTTACAGTCTTCTAGGAGACATGGAGAACAGATATTAGGACACTGAAGTGTGATCCCACTAAACAATATGCTGCTAATCCCCAGAAGAAAACAAAGCAATGATTCTTATAATCAAGTTTCTCGATATAACAACATTTCTTTTGTGTACATACAGCACACTTCTTACTAAAGGGAAAGATTAGTTTGTGCCAGAGTTTTCAAATTTAGCTTCAAGTTCATAGTAATAACTGCAGACAAATATGGGCACAGGATTTTCAACAATAAATAGGGTGGGTTTACAGATATAGAATATGAGTGTACCTATTTATCTGTGTTTTTTCTTATTCTCTGCTTGCTCTCAATTAATTTAAACTCTGTAGAAGATGAAATCAATGGAGTATACACCATCTCTATCTTTAATTGCTACAACCTCATCAATATGAAGAAAGCTATCATATAATTCTGGTTATCTGCCTCCAGTGACACAAAAGCTATGATGAAAGGACAGTGTCTTTTCATTCTTTTGAGTGTCACCCTTGAGAGGAAGAAGGGAAACTCACATGAGGATTAGCACAATTGTTGCCTCAAGGCAGTAAATCCCAAATTCTAGATAATAAAACCCATTAACCAACTAGTATAGTAAATACCAGCTCTTGATATCAAAAGGCTGTGAGTCACTAACTAAAATCTTTTCTCTGGAGAACTGCCACAGAAACAATCAAAGATCCAGTGAAACATGACAAGGTGGAAACAAAAACCTGTGTTTCAAAAAGCTTTATAGATCAGAGGCACCTGGCAGCTCAGTTGGTTAAGTGTCCGACTCTTGGTTTTGGCTCAGGTCATGATCTAGGGGTTGTGACAGTCAGGCTGGGTGTGGGGTATGCTTGAGATTCTCTCTCCCCCTCCCTCTCCTCCTTACCACCCCCTTATAAAAGGCCTTATAGTTCAGAGGATGAACAGAGGTGATAGGATTTGACTGATCCTCCACAAGTGCTGCTGCTCTGTAGCTGCAGTTTCTAGATTTCTTACTAGTGTAGTTAAAGGGGCCAGTTACAAAACAAGAAAAATGCAAACAACCTTCTTACACGGCACACACACCTATCCTGTGCCACTACTCACTCAAGATCCAAACGTTTCAGGAACATAGAGATTTGCTCCAACATGCTGATTCTGATTTTGATATTATTCCATCTTTTTCTTCTTATTTTATACTGGCGCTGTCCGATTTGGTAGCTACCAGCCACACATGGCTATTTAAATTCAAATTAATTAAAACAAAAATATTAAAACATCAGTTCCTCAGTCACACAGTCTACATTTCAAGTGTTCAAAAGCCACCTGTGGCTAGTGGCTACCAAACTGGACAGCAAAGATTTCCAACGCAGAAAGTTCTGCTGGACAGCATTGCTCTAGACCAGTGACAAGGCCTCACTCTCCCTGAAACATATCTGGACAAATCCCCTTGTGTATTGCTATTTTAGTGACGGTGTTGGTACTTATGTACTAAGCTGTATTTTTGGAGGCAATTCTTTATTTCTATCTTCTGCCTTAAACACACACATACATCATCTAATCTTCTAACATCTTTATTTTCTTTCAATGAAAACAATTAGTGATCATAACCTAGGAGCAATCTTCATTAACACTTGTAATTAAAATCACCCAAATCTTCGTCTCCTCTTTTCTAATCAACAATGCAGGTGTGGTCTCATTCTCTTTGCCAGTGCCTTTTCAAATGTGAAATGGGAGTATAAAAGTGGAACACTGGTATTTATTCGGGGGGTGGCAAGTCATCTACTATCTACCCATGATGAAAACTAAATAAAAGCGAAATGCTATTTATCATTAGAAATATTACAGTAGTGTAGCAGGAAGGACTGACTTTGCATTGCCAGCTATTTGTAATAAGTATTTTTAACCCAGTGTGATATTAGCCCTATCTTTCAGTTTAAGACATTAAAATACAAAGACCTTTTCAAGTGGTGAGCAAGTCACACCAGATGGCATTCAATCTTGGTGCCAACACAGGTCATGGAAATAAAAGCTCTAATCAGCAGAATTCACTGACACGGATTTTAAAAACTATCGTGCATGCTATTACTGCTTTGAAAGAGGTCGTGTACTTTTGTTTGAAACATCCTTGGTTCAGGTAAATCACTATCAATATTTTGAATCACCCTAAAGTGATTATTCTAAAAAAGTCAGTGAAACCTCAAACTCACCTGAATATATACTTACCATTACCCGCGACACTTAAAAAAAAAAACTGAAACCTAACAAGTTTGTTGACATCTTAGGTTAGCATTTTATTCTACTTTATAAATATTTCTTTGTGGCTAATTTCACAACATGTATTCTAGGATCTATATAATTCTCTGTATATACAGGCATAGGCCTAGTACTATATTCACTGATGATAACTTTTTGAAAAATACATTGACTATTTGCAGCAGGTATCAATAGGCATTACTTAAATCTTTACCTCTGGTCTGGTGCTTATTCTATTCTAGGTGCTTGGGAATATAAACCAAACTCTTGGGAGTGTTAGAGTTTAGACGACAAAGAGAATCTAGAATTTTGAAATCCAAACCTAATGAAAATCTCTGACCTGTTTGGCAGGAAGAAGAGAAGACATAGGAGAGGAAAGGTAACCAACAAAAAAGAAAATTATTTTTCTGGAAGCTATGATTAGTCCCTGGCTGGCTGATGTGTTCAATTGTCCCTGGCTTCAAGATAAGAGAGCAGTTTCACCACAAGGTCATCAAGAGATTTTTTAATTTTGACAAAACCTAAACTATACCAACTAGAAGTTAATGCAGAAATATATGGCATAGCAAAATCTTTTTTACTTTTTTGCCAAATTATTATTGTTTACTTGCAGAGCATGAGGTGTTGATTTAAAACAGACTCCGATGAACAAATCAGAACTTAGAGGGATTATTACTTTGGGCTCTAGTGAACTTCCATTATCTATTTTAGACTATTTTTGTTTAATTTTGAATGGCAGGTAACTGTTGCACATTCAGAGGACTACAAATAGAAACACTCTACTCCTCTTTTTGTCCATAAGTTTTTTTTTTAAGATTTTATTTATTTATTCATGAGAGACACAGAGAGAGAGAGTCAGAGATACAGGCAGAGGGAGAAGCAGGCTCCATGCAGGGAGCCCGATGTGGAACTCGATCCCAGGTCTCCAAGATCAGGCTCTGGGCTGAAGGTGGCGCTAAACCGCTTAGCCACCCAGGCTGCCTCATAAGGATTTATTTTCTATTTGGTCTTATTAACTACATGCCTCTTTATATTTGTATTACATCATTAAAAAGGGCAAGATTTTGAATATAAGTTGAAAGGTATACTTGCATTCAACTCTTCTAGTCTTTCATTCTTTTCTGTAGACTGAAAAAATTTCCAAATCTACATACAAGGATGAGTTTTTGAGTTAACTAAGTAAAGGGGACTGGTCCCTCCATTCCCTGTGCCTTGGTCCCTACTAGCCATCCGACTTAGAATAAAAAATGTTCTCTTCCTACCACCTCCTCTTTGACCATGCTGATTGCTACTTAATAGTTATTCCTTTCTCAACTTTGATATTTAATACATGCCATATACAACCTCCCATTTGTCCTTGACCTCATGAACCTGTAATGACTCCCGTTGACTGTCCAAAACCCCAACAGTTCTGTCATGCATTGGAAGGGCTTCTACAAGCTAGCCTCTTTCTACCTCTCTGGCTTTCTCTCCCTCTCCATTATTTCCCAGAATCCACATTACAGCCACATCAGCCTCTTTGCTATCCTAGGGCACACATTTACTTCTGTGACTGCATACTTTTGTTCACATAGTTCTCTACATCTGTGATGCTCTCTCCCTCGGTTCCATCACTGAAATTCCACTGATCTGTCCACATCCTGCTCAAGCGTCACCTCATTCACAAAGCACTTCTGATCCCTCTAGTTAAAATTACTCTGTCCTCTGGTCTTTTCACAGCTCTTCACTGGTACTTTCCTTTTATTCTTTTTTGTTGGCTGTTTACATTTTCTTCTCCTCCTCTAAATTTTTAGAATTCTGTCTTATTTGTGAATCCACCCCCCACGTTGTCTAGCACACAGAGTCTGCATATAATAGAGACCCAATACATATTTACAGAATGAATGAAAACAATGATAATATACCAGCTTCTAGGCAGGGATCACTACCTCTTTGTATACTAGAATCGAGCACACTGAGAACACCCAATAAATACGGACAGTTTATTGAAAGACAGAAACCAAAAACTTGGATGGTCTTTTAGCTTTTAACATTACACATCTGCATTTAACAAAACAAAATAGTACAAAACAAGCTTAGATACATCAATTAAATATATCAGGTGGGCCACCAGGTGGAGAGATGCCATACAACACTGTTTTGGGGACAGCCCTTGGCCCCTTACTGTCATTCACCATCCCAAAGCAGCACAGAACTCAAGATTATTAGGGAAGGGAACAGCTATTATAAGAATTATATAAGCATTTCCTCTGATTTGTGGGACATGTAATGTTACTTGAACAGGAAGCTTCCATGGGTTAAGAGAAAGACTCCTAACAACCAGAAAAGAATGAATTCTTCCATGTAAATACTTTCTGATGAAAGTGTACTTTGCAATGAGAACAAACTAATCAACTCTAACAAAAGTAATCTGATAAGCAATCCTTCAGAAGAAATATAAGTCCTAGTCAGGGGGTTTTAGAAGTCAGTTTGAATGTTTAATTTTCAAATAGCCTTGGAGATTATGGTAAAATTTATGCTCTAGCTATCTGATTTACAACAGGAATTACTCTTTTTCCTACTTTGGCATTTGACATAATGTTGGCATTTTCTTTTTTGGTATTGTATGGCAGTACAAAAGAGCAGTGAATGGACAGACTTTTTCACCAGAACATCTGGGTTCAAATCTGGGCTCTACCACACATACTACCTATATGATTTTAGATGATTACTTAATCTCTCTGTACCTTAGTTTTCTTTTCTATAAAATAGAATAATAATAATAATACCTTCCTTATTAGGGTTGGGGTAAGGACTGTGTATGTTACATATGTAAAGCACTCAGGAGAGTGGCAGTATATAGTAACCTTTACTAAATGTCAACTACCTTTAGTAATCGTTAGCATTTTTTACAATTAATGTATTCTTAACTTGAACAATTTTATATGTGAACCAACCCATTGTCCATAAACAGTGAATAACAAGTAAACTATAATATTTCCTCTATGTTATAAAGATATACTGAAGACTGGATATTTGTGGGTGAAAGATGCCTATGCTTGAGTTTTAGAAGATCTCAACATCCTTGAAATCATACACAAAAATGAGTGTTACTAGGTGTGAATGTGTATTACTCTGGGGAGAGGATCCATAGCTCTTACCCAAGTCTTAAAAGGGTTGTGATCCCTAAGGATCAGGAAGCACTGCTCAGTCATCCCATTTAAAAAGGTATGCCCATATTACATGTAGGTGTCTGGAGACCAAGGCTGAACAGTATTCTTAACTGGATGTTATTCCCAAATATGTCCTTATTGTACATCTTGATTGCCTTATGATCCTTAAATGCTAGTTTCAATGCCCCTTTCAGTAAAAACATCCACACAGCTATACCAAGTTAGGATGTTATTAAGTCTTCAGTTCTTAGTTCTAGTTTGTACCTGTAGGTTCCATTTCAGATTTCGTTCAGTATATTAGAACAAATTCATCTGCTCATGAATATGGACTTAGAAGCAAATATTCTGTTTCCCTGAGTAATGGAAATATATCACCCTTCTTCTGAATGTCTTTCTACCTGGTTCCAAGGGTACTGCTCCTGGAATATCACCATACCTAATTGCTAAGTTCCAGCAAAACAATTCCAGAGGAGGCAGAGTCACACAGACTTTTAGAACAAATGCAAATACTTCCAGAAATTCAAATTAAGACCTTAGTTCTGTTCTAACACAGAGTAGTGATTTTTCTTTGTCACTGACTACCTTTCCCCTCTTTGGACAAGTGGGAATCCTAACTTTTGCTCCTTAGTAATATCATTTCCTTTTGCCAATGAATTTCAAGTGATTTTTACCCCAGTGTATAGTATAAAAAAGTAACCAACATAACTTTTGTCTAGTGCTAGTTGAGCTCAGTATGGTCTAAAACAAGCCGTAGTTCTACATGACCAATAATAAGTCAACCTAGAGCAGGAAGCCTACGGGGCTCTCTCCATACTTTTACCTGTGAAGCAGTCAGGTTGGGAGAGGGTGCAGCCGACTGGGCGTGGTGGTGGTGGTACTGCTGTTGTTGCTGTAGCTGCTGCAGTGGTTGCTGCTGTGCTGTTTGTAGTTTGTTTTCAGATTGTGGTAATGGCTGTATTTGGAACTTGTCTGGTTGTTCTTGCTTTACTATCAGGTTCTTCCGGAGCTGTTCAACTACTCTTTTCTACCCCATGAAGACAGAAAGAAATGATATCTATTAGAACATTGTTCTATCCACTCTGTGAAATATGCAGCAGAGCTCTGTACCTCTGACATCTTTCTGTAACCAGCTTAATCTAAAACTTATTATATCTAAAAGGTACAGACTCCACCTCTAAGGAGAAATCAATAGCATTAGAAACATTTTATATATCAAGGGACACTGAGCCATACAGAGGAGAAGAGAAGATCATGGAGCTCACACAGTCAATCTCAGATTTCTTGACTATTATTAGCTTGGTGGTGGAAGGGCAAGAAGAGTGTAGCCATGAGAATGACTCTGGAGACACAAATTTCAGTTTTGCTACTTACTAGCTCTCTGATGTTTTTGTCAAGTTACTTAACCTATCTGTGTCTCTATTTCCTGTTGTGTAAAGTGAGGAGATTAACATATCCTTGGGGTTTTTATGAGTACAAAGCTGCTGGATGTTAAGTACTCACAACTGTTACTGGTACATTGTTGGTCATTTAACTTTTTGTATCTGATAACAGACACTGGCCATACTAATTTTCATTATCTTTTTTAATTTTTATTTATTTATGATAGTCACACACACAGAGACAGAGAGAGGCAGAGACATAGGCAGAGGGAGAAGCAGGCTCCATGCACCGGGAGCTTGACGTGGGACTCGATCCCGGGTCTCCAGGATCGTGCCCTGGGCCAAAGGCAGGCGCCAAACCGCTGCGCCACCCAGGGATCCCTAATTTTCATTATTTAAACAAACATCATATATCAGTTTCAAACGTTAAACAGACTTTTATATAGATCTGATCTCAGAAATATGCCAAACAATATTTATTCTAAACCACTCAAATATATAACTCAGGAGCAGGACCTCTTTGCTGGGATAGGGTCTGTGGGAATGCACACATTTGTTTAGGCAGAGTAGGGATTTAGTTACATAGGATAAAAATTTAAAAACCAAACTTTCTTGAATTTTCTAGATCTTATTCAAATCCAAGAAAAATGTGTATTTGGATACTTCCATTACTATAATATATTTCAACAGAATGTAAGCTCCATGAGGGCAAGGACCTATTTTGCCCACAATTATACACTGGGCTAGAAATATGCAGCTAAGTAAATGTCTCTTCACAGGATGTATAAAGTGACCGGGACCAGGGACCAGGAAATGACTCAGGGAATATGCTATATAAAATCATCTGAGGCTAGACTTGGGCTGCCTTTCTTGGCCTGATAGCTGGAAGCAAGTATAAGCAACACTCATATACTTTAAAGTGAGTTCACCAGCTGAGGTTTGTTATTTCTGATAAAATAGACGGCCATTTTCTAATATAGATCATGAATGAAGAAAAAGAAGTAAATGAAGATTATTAAAGAAAGAGTTAAGTGGAACCATATGGCCAGGTTGATTTTCAAATTCCCCCTTATGATTCTAACCAACTTCATTGCACATATCCTCTAAAGAATCCAAACATGTAAGGTTACTTGCTTAACATATCTGAATATTAAAACATTTATAAAATGGACTTGTCAGTACAAAATATATTATTAAGAGAATTTTTTATACCTTTATTGATTCTTTTTAGGCAATAAAAATTTCATATAAAGGTTAATTTGGGGCAGGGAGAGAAGTCTGCTAAACTTTATACTCTGCTAGCACTGCCTCTTTGAATAGTTAATATTGAATAGTTGAATAGTTAAATATTACAAAGAAAAGAAAAAAGGATGCAGAGTCAGTCCAAAGTCTTTGCAGAAACCATCTGCAGAATAATAAAAATGCAAATTAATAAAAATATCAAATTCTTATAAAAAATTAACTTTCAAGTCTTCAAAATCCTATTTCTCAAGGATAAAAGAGTAATTGAACTGATACAGTTTAGGAGAAGGGCAAGTAGTGGCAGGGGTGCTACAGATAAAATTTTGAGTATCACAGGCAGGTTTTATTGCTTGGTGACTGCCAGAACATTATGACATTTAACAATTAAATCATTATTGAGAGTTGCTTTCAGTTCCCCTCCCTAACATGTAACTGCATTAAACAAACATAGTAACAAATCAACTGAAGTGTACCATCAGTAGCCCAAGAAAGGAACTCCTAGAGCCTCTACAAGAAACCCCAGCTCAAATCAGGGAGAGATGATTTGAAATCATGAGGAAATAACAGAATGCCAATGTGACACCTGCCAAAAAATAAACTTTGAACAAAAGCAGCATAGGAAACGAAATAATTACTCTACCAGGCACAAAAGGAAGAGATTTTTTTTTTCCTTTACAGCCATCCCTGGGAAATACAGAGTGCTCTCCTACTTACTGTCTAACCGGGGTAAACTAGAAGCAAGAGACAAAGCCCGGAACCCACTCCCAGCGTTGCGTACAACAGAAGGGAACAGTAGGGGAAAAAAACGAGGAAGGGATGCAGGCTAGAGTACTCTGCAGCCATATGGCTAGAACAAGGTGACGACCAATCAGAACCAGAATCAGGAAAGTGGGAGTCAGTGAGTCACACTGCATTCACAACTGTTCCTCCCCCAGGGCCTGAAACAAAGCCTGTGGAACCTGTGGGGAGGCACAGGGATCAAAATACTTACAAACTTATATTAGCCATTGAGAGAAGGGGGGGGGGTAAGAGAAGAAAGCCATGCATATAGGACACAGGTTAGATCATATGAGCTGGGTAAAATTTTCTTTGAAAGAAGGCTTTGGTGTATTTCTGAGCACCACCCAGAAATGCACTGCCCCTGCCCTCCTTGCTACATTCACATTAGAAGAATGCCAAGTGTGTAGCTGTGCATGTCTATGAAATTAAAAAAATCAAGGTCTGAGGGAAGCATTGATACCTTCTGTCACTTAAATATCTATCGCTGTGTTTTGAAAACCAACAATTTGAAGTTAGGTGAGCTCCACAGTGGAAGCCTGCCTTAGGTGTCCAGCAGCCCTCTTTTAAAAAGGGCTGGCTAATACAGGAGCTGCCGTGTGCTTTAGCTGGCTTTTCTAAGTCCCACCACCCAGTCTTGTTCTAGAGCTTTAGTCCTGCAGCTCTGGCAAACATACCAGTTACTTTAACTCCAGCAGGACCCTCATCGGATCAGTACCAGTTAAGTGGCAGTAAGAGAACATAGCTATCAAATTTCATAAATTTTAGCTACGTGCTATCAAGCAAAGTTCTTAAGTATTCTCTCATTTTCACAGGAAGTGAGCCTATATTTTTTATTAGTATGTGTTTTAAACAAAGAAATCATGGCTTTGGCTGGTCATTAAAGAAGGTTATACAAAATAAACAATCTGGTATTTTCAATGTTATTCACATATAAAGGAGATCTTGAAATGGAGCTAATTACCTTGGAACATTAACCTTAGCTTTGAGAAAAGGCTAAGTGTCACATACTGGCCATTTGTCACTGACTAATAAGTTAATGAAAGTAAAAAAGTAAAGGAAGCAGGGAGAAAGGAGATGAGAAACGAAAAGCTGTAGAGAATGAAGGCAGAAGGGAGGGAGAAAAGGTCAGTAACTTATCATCTTCTTTAATATATTTTCTGTAACAATAGGCCACTGGGCCTGGTGTCCCAAATGGCTAGTACCGCCCCCTCCGATCAATCCATCTGTCAAGAACTGTTCCATAAACCCAGCATGTAATTCCAAGCCTCAGATTCCCCTGACATTCACATCACTAGGTTTTATCAGGACTTGTTCAGGCAGAAGAGTTCACAGAGCCTGTAACACTTCAAGTCACAGTTTCTGAGACAGGTAGTCATGGTGATCAATATTGTGACATTCAGCGATACTATCAACATGTTCACACGACAGCAAGATAGATCCCAAGGAAAAATACAGAAGTTTATAGGTCCAACTCAACAGAAAATTGGGTTCGTTTTTCAGCTATATAAGTCGATCATTCCAAGCTCTAATGGCACTAGTCAATACAGAACGGAGATGGGGAGCTGGCGGGACAGCTCCTCCCTCCCTCCAATTAAGCCACCACTTTATTTTCATCAAATTCTCACACAAATTTTAAAAAGCTTCTCTCAAAAGGAGCTCCAGGTACAAGGCCTTGCCCTCTATAATTGCATGTCAGTGATTCAGTCAGTCACTCAACCGATTTGTGTTCCACTCTGCATTATCTGTTTTATATCAATTATGATAAGGCAACACCCACTCAAACATCTTCTTACATGGTACTGCCTTAAAAATTCATCCTTTGTCCCCTCCATGAATCAATCATATAATCTGAAAACAGAATCTGCACCCTTCATACCAGAGACTGAAAACGACTGTAACTTTTCACAAATCCAGCAAGACAAGAACAAATCTTACCTGTCTTCCTCCCTAAAATGCAGTGAAAAAAATTTCCAGGTCTTCAGACTCACCAATTGCTCAAATGAAACAAGTGACACTAAATTTTGTTATGCAGAAAACTAACACGGAGAAATTTATATTTGTTGGGAAGCCTGGGTGACTCAGTGGTTGAGCATCTGCCTTTGGCTCAGGGCATGACCCTGGAAACCAGGATCGAGTCCTACATCGGGCTTCCTACATGGAGCCTGCTTCTCCCTCTGCCTATATCTCTGCCTCTCTCTCTCGGTCTCTCATGAATAAATAAACAAAATCTCAAAAAAAAAATGTATATTTGTTAAAGTCAAAATTTACTCACTCATTCAACCACTGCATTCATAAGTAAAACCAATATTCATCAACACTGAAGACACCAGAAGGAGATATGATACCAGTGTGCGGAATGCTACTACAAAATTATCCTCTAAAGAACAGGGGATGTGTTACTGACATAAAATTAGTGACAAAATTAAATCTTGGGTAAAAGGTATGTATTATTAAAAATGAAATCGAAAATTGAGTGAAAATTCTACCATTTCATGAACAAGAACACAAGGAAAAGACAATAAATTCAAAACAAGTCCCTTTCTAATGCAGTAAGTAAAATTCAAGGAAAGAACATGCACTGAAGTTATTAGAGAATGAATGTTCTAGGAGAGACAAACAGGAC